AGATTAGCGCTGGGCATCAAAAATTTCTTCGCGAGGTAGACCGTGTGGAGATCAGACACTCTGAAGATGGAATTCCTGGGCGACCATGAACTATCAAGGTGAGTTCGTCAGATCTGTACCTGTTTTCAGTTCGAGCTTGTGGATCAAATCCGGATGATTTTGTTTTCTAGGTACAGTCTTGTTCCGCCTCCCTCTGCAGAATCAAGGAGGACTGCCGGGGAGTTGGACCAAAATGGCTCAGTGTCATCAGGACTGATGTCCAGGCTCGGGGTGCTAGAACGAACGGGCGCTGCATCGGCGCATCATGTTCAAGCCCCTGTACGCGTGGCAAGGGTGGGTGTGTGCGAGAGTTTTGGCACGCAAGGATCTGCCTCGTCCCAGGCGAGTGCGGATGATGCGGTGGTGGGGGATTCGGGAGGGCAAGATGCGACCGCTGAGGCAACATCTGGATGGATTAAAAGGTAAGAACTTGAAAAACCTGGAATGTATGAATATCTGCGGTGCTTGCGACACTATGGTCTTATCTATGGGTCAATTTTTGCTTTGGATACACACGTAGCTTGATTGGTTTGTCTCTGTGTAGTTGTTCTGATATTCAAATCAATTAACACCCGTATTTCCCCCAAAATCTAGTACAGAGTACTTTTGATGTTTTTAGATTGTTGTAAACAGTGGTAGCTCATTGAACAAGGTGTGTTTTGTTTATGTTTGATTTAGAAAAGGTTTGGTAATCATGGGATAATAATATTCCTCTTGCATGAGATTCTTGGTGTTGGGGATGGACAAATCAGAATAATTATGCTACTGTTGGGCACTAAAGATTAGACTGAATATCGATTGCGTGTGTAAATTTTGCTGGGTCATGCAGGGTGCGTGTGGGAAAGGCTGCTGTCGAAAGGGAGTTCAATCCGAACAGAAAAAGTGCTCTGGAAATTTCTGTTAGGGAATTTGTTGAACACAAGGAGGGAATTGTAGTGAACCCAACCATTGGCAAATCCTTTGATTCCCTGGACGAGGCTTATGACTTCTACAACCTATATTCATGGGAAAGCGGATTTGGGGTTAGGTTAGCAAAGAGCCGATTGAATGTTCACCGAATGAAATGTATGCAGGAGATTGTCTGTGGTTGCGCGGTATGTGTCACACCATGCTAATTGAACATTACATATCCTTGTTGTTTAATTCCAATTTTCTGTTTGGTCTCATTGCATGCTTATCATCCCACTGGGGAAGCCCGTCAAAGAAAACAGCAGGTCCACAAGGTGCGAGTGTACAGCCATGATCAGATTGTTGAGGTCATCAGACAATGGTTGGTACATATGCGAACACCGTACAGTTCACAACCACCGCATGTCTCTGACTTGCGGAGAGAAGTTGCATTGGAAATCACACAGGCACATTGATAGGTACACTAGGAATCTGGTGCAGCATCTCAGGGAGAATAACGTTAGTCTTAGCAAGGTCTACAGCATTGTTGGTAGTTTTTTTGGAACTTTGGAGAATGTACCATTCACCAAGAGGTCTTTGCGCACACTGTGTGGCAAGTTGAGCAGGGAGCAATCGGACAATGATGCTACCAAGACAATAGGTCTCCTCCAAGATTTAAAAGCAGCAAATCGTGATTTTACATACAACATCCAGGTCGATGAAGAGAGCCATGTAAAAACACTGATGTGGGCGACGGGTCGGGGAATCGAGCAGTACAAGTATTTCGGTGATGCTATAACTTTCGACACCACTTACCGGACGAACTTGTACGATATGCCTTTTGGCTTATTTGTTGGAGTAAACAATCACTTCCAGAGTATTATATTTGGCGGTGTCATGATGCGGGACGAGAAGGTCGAAAGTTTCAAATGGGTGTTCAAGGAGTTTATCAGAATGGTTGGTGGGAAGGCTCCACTAACCATACTAACCGGTGAGACACACAGGTGTTTGCCAGTTTGTGTTTTATGTACCTTAACTTGATGTTCTGATTAATTTACGATGGACATTTTTCAGACCAAGCGCGTGCTATGGAGTTGGCAATTAAAGCTGAACTACCTGACACAACTCACCGGTGGTGCAAGTGGCACGTTCTTCGGAAGGCGAAGGAGAGCCTTGGAGTACTCTATGGCAAGAAATCAGAGTTCAAGACGGACTTCCACATTCTTGTTCACCATGTGTTGACGGTGGAAGAATTTGAGACTGGGTGGAGTGATATGCTAACAAAGTATGGTTTGCAGAAGCATCCATTCCTGACTCAGGTTTATGAAATGCGGAAGATGTGGGCAAAACCTTACTTCATGGGTGTGTTCTGTGCCAAGATGACTAGTACGCAGAGGAGTGAAAGTGCAAATCACCTACTAAAGGGATACATCCCACCTGGTTGCCCAATGCATCTGTTTGTTAAGCAGTTTGAGAAAATACAGTTCGATCGCGAGTCTGAGGAGAGTTATCAGGAAAAGAGGACATCGATAGTAAGTGTTTTAGTTATGCATTGTCTTGGCATATCTAGTTAGTTGTCGATCCTCATGTTTGCATTATTTGTTCATTATCACAGGCCGGAATTGTTTTGAAGGGGAACTTCCCCCTTGAACGGCACGCAAGCAAAATATACACCAGAACTATGTTTGAGCAATTTGGAGATGAGTTGTACAAATCCGGTTCGTACGACATCGAGGAAGTTGTTTCGCAGAAAATTTATTTGGCGAATCATGTTGACTCGCCATCAAGGGAAAAGTGGTGCAAAGCTAGTTTCAAGGTGGAAACAAACGAGTCGAAGGATGAATTCATATGTGAGTGTGGGTTCTTTGCCCACTCTGGGATGTTGTGCTGCCACGCGATTAAGGTAAATTCAGGACGCTTGATCAAATTGTTGTCTTGAGTTTTATGATATGAGATGATTGTCTATCAGATTCTACTATTGGATTGTCAGGTTATACTACACGTCCGTCTGGGTGAGATTCCAGCGAAACATGTTGTCAAGCGATGGACTAGGGATGCACGGGACATTCTCCCTGAGGATCTAGTGATGTATCAGAATGATCAAGGGCGGCCGAAGTCAGATACTACAAGACATACCAAGCTGTATTTATCCGCGCTAGAGCTTGTTCGAATGGGTGACGCAAATGTACAATCTTACGAAGCGACCATGTTACTGCTGCAACAAGCTAAAGCCAAGCTGGCACCAATTTGTGCGGAACGAGATGGGATGGGTGTTGCAGATAGGGAAGCTGCAGCACTAGCTGATAGAACGGAAGACGGTGAGTTAGATGGAGACGACGATGTCATCTCTTCAATCAGCGCCCCGAAACGGAATAGAGCAATGGGAAGGCCAACCACAAGCCGCGACAAGCCGCCTTATGAGAAGCCCGTGAAACGATCTAGGTTCTGTAAGATTTGTCGAAAGGAAGGTCATAAGAGCACCACTTGCCCTGACTGTGGCGACCTTCCAAAACCTCCCAGGAAAGCTCCCAAGTGTTCAAACTGTGGTGTGCTTGGTCACAGGAGGAGCAGCTGTGGCAAGGAAATACTGTAGACATGATTGAATTGTTTCACCTGAGGCTGGCCCCAATGCAGAGAACTTCAGCAAGAACTTCGGGTCCAACTCAGCAAGAATTCCTACGTGGCATTGATTAAATGAAGAGAGAGAGCTTTGGAGGAACTTAGCTAGTTCCGGTAACATAGCGCTGCATACGAGAAAAAATTAATGCTAATCGATCCTGTGTGCGGGCGGCCGGACGCATCGCGAAGCAACCAAGAAAATCCCCACCCGTGTGACTTTCTCTTCCTCCACGGCTGGGCCTCATCCTTCTCCCTCCCTGCCGCCTTGGAGCTCCGGCGCCCCGCACTCCGTCTTGCCGGCCGGTGGCGGCTCTGGCAGGCGGCGCAAAGCCACCAGATTCATGGCCAAGTCCGGTGCCCGTAAGGACGCCGCGCAAGTCCGGCCATCGGCCACCTCGCCGCCGCCGCAGCACTCCCCCGGCGCCACAGCAAGCCGCTCTCCACAGCTTCTCTTCTACCCTGGCGCCCCGACAAGATCCTCGGCCACACCTGTACCCGCCTCTCATGGAATCCTCCTCAGCCAACCCTACATGGTATAAAATTTCTGCTTTAATTCAATCTTTGGCAATTACAATTTCTGTAGCTCGAGTATGCAGCATTATGTAATTCTATTTGGGTTATAGAGCAGCATTAGGTAATTGTAGTTTCTATAGCTCGAGTACCTGATTCAGCATGTGTGCGTGTTGAAGCAGAGAGACTCTGAAGTCTTAGCCTTAATTTTTGTAGCATTAGACCATTGCAATTCTTCAGGTTTTTGCTTGCTGGATCGGATTTCGCTGTGGACGTAGCAGGATATGCAAGTCCCCCGTGATGTGTGTCTGTGTGCTTATTGTGCAAACGGTTTACTACTATATCAGACACTTGAACTTGGATGTGCTTCGCTTGTTTGTTTGTACTTTTTTCTTGCAATGATTAGAACAGACAAAAGTTTCTAGTAGCAAGCTTTGGACAATGCTTCTTAATTCTGATATTTACAATATAACAGGAGGCAGATGTATACCTCTGCACCTGAAGGCCTGCTAAGTTTTGGACAATTACTCATGGTGACATACCCATGGTGACATACCAGAATTTGCCGAGGTACTTGAAAGAGATGTTAGAGTTCGTGATCGTCCAACGCATAAGGCTCTTAAAAATGATTTGATTGAGCATATATGGAGAAAGTTTGGGCGCGAATAGATTATATCCAAGTCTTGATGGATGTATTGCTAAATATGTTCTATATATTTCAATAATATAATATTACACTTTATTATTTGTTATGATCCAAATTTGTGTTCTTTTATTTATCCATAAGTATCGGAAAACACAAGTTTTGTTGGTACATGCCACATATAGATCACAAAGTTGAAGTACTACTATAGATCCCACAAAAACAATAAATAAACCCTCTAAGTTACCACCCATAAGTTACCACCCACTGTGGAGGTAGTAACATAGAGTTGTAACATGCTTACGTGGCATGTATGTTACTACTATATGTTACTCCCCATTGGGGCCAGCCTGAGTCAGGATATTTCCTCATTGAATACTAGTAGAACTGAATATTGTGTACTGTACTATTAAGTCAATTATTAGTTGACAACCAGTTGATGCGCCTGGTATCAACTTATGATATGATTATAATTCTAGGTCGTCGATTAAGAATCTACTAACATATGTCTGGTTCATTGTCATGATTATAGTTATTGAGATTGAGGTCGATCTTATGTTGAAACTGGTTTTAAAATGATGAATGCTTACTCCCAGCGGACCTAAGCCTAATATTCGTGTTGTGGTTTAGTTGTTTCACCGGGGAGCAGACCTATGGTGAAGAAGAACAGTAGAAGGGAGATGTTCCTTTCGGCGTCTGATCTCAGCGTGTGCAGTTGGGGAGGTGGGTAGTGGCCTGGACGCAATAACTATCTCAACGAATGATCAGCTAACCTACCGCGTCGTGCCGGTGAAAGATTCAAAAACCAGTCGATGAAGGAATCCGATAGAGATATGTGCTAGGTCTTGTACAGGTGATGCTGATAATTAAGTGATCCTTTTTTAACCATAAACAGAGTTAATTAGAACTAATCAGTATATTCTAGCTAGGTATTGAATATGTACTGACGCCGGGTTAAAATTTGAATCTGGCTGCTTACTAGTTATCTTGACTTTTAAGGTTTAACCATCGATCAGTGGCTAAATGAAAATTAACTAGTAATTAGCATGATTTGAACTAATTATATTCTAACTGGGTACAACTGAATATGTGCCTCTCATGTCCTGCGTGTGGCTCAGGTGCTTAATACAGGGTTAGACTTCAATTCTGTCTGCTTACGATGATTTTCCATGGTATCCTAAGTAGTATAATTAACTGTCGTAATTTGAGCAATGGGAAAACGATCCCAGCAGTGGCCAGCTGCGAAAGGGCCTTGCCAGGATATACGACATGCATATACGCCGAGGGATAATGGCTTCTATTAGGAAATACAACGTGTAATAACTGCAGGTTGTGGATCCAGAGAGAGAACAACGGTGGGGATACAGAGACCCGAGGGTGTCGTCCGCCAAAACGACTATTTGCGCTACTACCCCCATACTCACATTCTGGAAGCGGAGGCCAAGAGTGGTATTTCGTACACTTGGCGTAGCTTGCTTCACGGACTGAATCTAGTAAAGGAAGGCTACATTTGGCGAGTAAGGTTTTGACTTTCGGTTTGTGAAATTTTTCGCCCCAGACCAAGATGGCCGAATTTTGGCCATTTTTAAAAGTTTCGGCCGAAATTTGACCAAAATTTGGTTTAAATTTGACCAAATTTTAACGGAAATACATTTTTTTGCCGGAAGGTATTTTTCGCCCCTGGCCAGATGGCCGAAATCGGCCAAAATCCGTTTTTCTCGGCTGAAATTCAAACACACTTGGCGAGTAGGCGATTGCTCGCAAATTCGAATCCGGAGTGGATCCCGCGTCCTTGGTCCAGGCAAATTATCACACCGAGAAATGGTAACCTTCTGGAATTTGTGAGCGACTTAATTAGTCCTATTACGGGTGACTGGGATGAGCTGCTAGCAAGGGAAACCATTTGGCCAGATGACGCAAAAAGCGTGTTGCAAATCCCAATCCGGGAGGGGGTACAAGACTTCATAGCCTGGCACTATGACTCAAAGGGTCTGCACTCAGTTAAGAGTGCATATAAGCTGCATGTTCAGACTGAGAAACAGCGAAAGGGAGATTCTGCAGGGAGTAGTTCAGTTTTGGTAGGCAACTTAAACACATGCTCGGACGACTCATGGAGAATTAAGCGTGAATCACTTGCATTCAGAACAAACCTTGTGCGTCGAGGCGTTCCAGTGGATAATGCATCATGTTATTTTTGTGGCAGGGCCGATGAGGACGGAGCACACCTGTTCATCAAATGCAAAGTGGTGAAAGAGGTCTGGAGGGAGCTAGCCTTGGAGAAAGAAAGGATGGAGCTTGAGAAAATACTGTCCGTGCATGATATGCTAGACTTCCTCTGGGGCCTAACTGAAAAGAAGCGTCTACACATCCTAACCTTCTGGTGGCTCTGGTGGAGCAACCGTAATAAACTTCGGGAAGGCGAGTTGCCGGTAGCAACGGAGGAGATAGCAAGGCGTGCTCGCTGCTATGTCCTTGAATATCAGCAGATCTTCGGCCTTCCGCTGGCAAGGAAGAATACTGACAAATGGTGCCCCCCGTATGACGACATGATCAAAATCAATATGGATGGGTCCTTCCTGCCGGGTGAGACGCACGCTGGCTGGGGTGTAGTGCCACGGACAGCAGAAGGAGATATTATTTGTGCCCAAGGAGGGCGGCAAGAAAATGTCCACGACGCTTTTGCAGTAGAGGTGCATGCTATGGCACATGCGGTATCCCTTGCAGCTGAGATGGGAATGATTCGCGTCGTGTTTGAAACAGACTCACAGCTCCTCTCCGAGGCGCTGGACTTAGGGAGAGTTGAGAGGGTGCTTGGATAAGTTTTAGTCCCATGACTAAAAGTAGTGGGACTAAAATTTGCTAGTCTCACCCATGCTTGGATCCAAATACTAAAGAGACTAAAATCAAGTTAATGAGCATTTATTATCCTCCAAACCCTCCAATCCAGAACTCGCGTTAAAGGAGAGGAGTTAAATGAGGAGAGAGAGGACTAATCCACATTTTAGTAGGGGTACTTCTAACTAAAAAAAATTAGTCTCAAAACTAGTTTTAGCCCCTCTGTAGTCAGGGGTGCTTGGAACTTTAGCCTCTTAAAGAGACTATTAGTCAGACTAAAATAAATCCCTTGTATCCAAGCACCCTCTGACTCATTCGCATATTCAGCTGTCACTGAAGACATCAAGCTTCAGCTCAAGCTTTGGTTTTCGAAACATGTTATTTCTTTTTGTAGGCGTAGTGCCAATAATGTTGCACACGAACTTGCTAATATGGGTCGTGCGTGCGAACCAAACAGTGTATTGGTTTTTTTTTTGCGGGGAACCAGTGTATTGTGGGAGTCCGATGTTCCAGCCAATACGGTATCGTTTACCGTCCGTTTCCTGTAGATCCGATACAATATACATTAGTGGGCCCAAGATAGATTTAATGATGCACTGCGCTGGCCAACGTGGCATCCGTAACATCGTCTACGTGATACTGGCACATGCGGCCAGCTCCGTCTTGTGCCGGCGGCCTATTTCAAGCGCATGGTTTTGTCCTCGTCATGCGCCGTCTGATACGTCTCCAACGTATCTATAATTTTTGATTGTTCCGTGCTATTATATTACCCTTTTTGGATGTTTATGAGCTTAATTTTACATATTTATATCATTTTTGGGACTAACCTACTAACCGGAGGCCCAACCCATATTGCTGTTTTATTGCCTGTTTCAGTATTTCGAAGAAAAGGAATATCAAACACAGTCCAAACGGAATGAAACCTTCGGCAGCGTGATTTTTTGGAAAAATATGATCCTGGAGACTTGGAGTCCACGTCAGAAGAT